AAAATTTAGGGGATCGAGAATTTCATCCGACACAAGTCTTTTAATTCTCCTTTTAGAGATGTGGCCTGATCACTTGTGTCATAATGAAGCAAAATTCTCACTAGTTAATTTACACTTTATATCTCGTGTACTTACATGCAATGATTCATTATAAGAAATAATTATATCAAGCAAATATAGATTATCATAATCTAATAAAGAACCAATACCAATCAATTTTGAATCATGAAAAAGACTAAACTTTATATTTATAAAAGAACAAGAATAACCAAATATGTCTAAAACAGAAATAGAAATCAAATTACGTCTAAGGACAGTATAGTATAAGTCTCGGTCAAATCTAAATAAACACCAGTTCTTAATAATAATCAAAATGTTCGAATTGCTTCTACTTCTACTAATTTCGATAACTCAGAAATTCCTGCATAGATCCACTGATGTGAGTTGTTGCACCGAAATCTATCCACCAAGTGTGTCTAAGTACCGAAGCTAAATTAACTTTAGAGCAAATAAAGTTAAGAAGTATATCTTTCTTTGCATGCTATGCATGATAGTTGGTGCATTACTTCTTCTGATGACTTGGAACTTTACAGAAGAAACAAATATATTTATTTTGGACCTTCTATTGTTTATTTTGTGGTGCTCAAACTACAACATTCTTATCTTTTTTTCTTTTCTTGTTTCTGTTGTCCTTTGAGACTGTGGCTAAGTGAGCACTCTTTATCTTCTTATACTTCAGTATTTCCTCCTCCTGAACATAATTAGAGGTGAGATCATTAAGGGATCAAGAGTCATTTTGACAATTGTAGCCTATTTTAAACTGACTAAATTGTGGTGAAAGAGATATCAAAATTAAGTGCACTAGTAAATCTTGTGATAATTTTAGTTTTAGTTTCTTGAGTTTGGAATGAATATAAGATATTTCCATAATGTACTATGTTATGTTTCATTTCTCTTTGTATTTCATGAAAATAAGGTTCGCTAACAATGTACTTGCTTCAGCCTTTTCATTCTTAGCAAAATATTTTTCGAGATCCTTAAAGAAACCCCTAATAGTAGTGATCTTATTAGACATAGTGCCCTAAAAAGCTTATGGAATAATACGTTTCATAATCATAAAACTTATACGGTTTGATTGATCCCACCTATCAAACTCCCTCTTATATCAGAGGTACTCTCAGCAGTAAGTAAATCAGGTTGATCAACCCACAAAACAATATCCAAATCCATAATTCTAAGTACAATGAGAACATCCTCTTTCCATGCCTTGAAGTTTGTGTCATTTAACATTGAAATTAAATTAACACTCACGAAGATATTTGCAGAAAAACCTGGAACTGAACAGAGAACAAATAATAAACAAATAATCAATACTCACATAAAATTTTAAACAAAAAACAATAATAATGAATTCAAATAAAGGTGAATCTAATTTTAAGATACTGAACACTCCATTAAACTCTATCTTTGAACATAATATTAACTTGTAAGTGATATCTTAATGCAATAATCAAGTACTGACAATAAGAACATGTCAAAAATAAACTTTCATTTGGGTCGATTTATAGTTCACATACAAAACTAAATAACTGTCACGCATTTATTACCACATATAGGAATATAATCATGTTAAACATTAACATTCATTTGCACCGATTAACATTCACATAAATTACACTCATATAACCATTTACATTATAAAATAAATCAACTTAACATAAGATAGGTCACTTTAGCGACATGTTGTATAAATCGATTCATTTCAAAATGCATACACGTACACTAATATTTAAATTCAAAATTATACCGAATTTACATTGTACAAGAAAGAAAAATATCCAAATATCCTTCAAATTATCCAAAATATTTTTAAAAATTAAAAATAAAATTTTAATTAATTTTAAGAAAAAATTTGAAGGTTTGATTGTTGACGAATCAACGTTGACTAGACCAGTTAAATTGACCGTTGATTGAGTTGGGTTGATCGAGTTGGGGCTTAAACTGGGTCGGGTCCTGGACTGGGTTAGGTCCTTGATCGGTTGGGCCCAACCCAAACCCCAACAGGGCCTTGGGACCACACATACTCAGGCCTCCCATTTTCCTTTTTTTTTCTTTATTTTTCTTATCATTTTTTATGTAATGTAGGCAGTAGCCTAAAGTAAGAAAAAAAAAAACCTTTTTTTTCTCTTTCTGGTC